ATTTAGGTCAGTATCGGACCGATACCGATACTTAATATCGGATCGGTCCATCTCTACTTAATACTACATGATATATGATTATATGGCACTTTAGTTAATATAAAGCATAGAATTGAGGCACTTCAAATAATTCCACCCCAACACGCCCTATGAAAGATTGAATTAATGAACACAGAAGTTTAATTAACTAGTCCTGTTGCAAGACATTTTAATAAAAAACATTATAAATCAGCTTAATTTTATAGGCATTGAAGCCATTAAACCCAGTCAAAGAAGTGGTAATATTAATTTTATCAGAAAGAATTGAAGCATTCTGGATATTTCGTGTTTTCGAGTTTACATCCTAGAGCCATGAGTGAGGATTTATTACTGAGTTTCTGTGAACTGTACCTTTTGTGTTTTTATGTTTTTTAACTAGATGTTTTGCTTTGTCTCCCTCTTTTAATGTTCGTGTATTTATATTAACTTTTAATTTTTATCTTTTTTTATTTTTATATTAATTTATTTGCATTTTTCTGTGTAATTTTGAGCATTATTACTATAATACATGTGAGGAAATTTTATTGATGTATTTATTTATTTATTTTCCCCTCCCCCTTTTAATCTTTAATGGTTTAGTCTAGAATCTATTTGGGCTGTGACCTAACCAATTAACCAATTAGCCAATACCACCTCATTAAATATCAATTGGTCAGCTGGTTTCTTTGTGAAGGTGTGATTGGTCCATTTGAATTTTTTTTCTGTTTCCAGACTTTTATTTAAACACAAATTGTTTCACATTTGACAATGACCCTGATGAAGGCCACAAGCCGAAACACGTTGGTCACTTAAAGTTGTTTCTTATTACTTTTAAGTGTTGCTGGAGTCTCCGTGTCGTTCAACTCTTGGATATTGATCAATGATCTTTGATCAGTGGTTGATGATCAATGGTCATGACAAATGTATATTACTGATCAAGAAACTGACCTCACAGCCCATTGTTCACCAGTGGCGCTAGTTTCAGTCATTGTGCAAACATCGTCCTTGTAAGGTTGGGGAAACCTGAAGTCAGCTGAGACGGAAGAAGTCACTTCGTTGAGTGACAAAAAGTTTCTCCTACTGAAAATGCAACGTCCAGATGAACAGAAGCAACTTTTTGGGATGGATGAATGAATCACCTGGATGATTGAGCATGCATCAAGATGAGCAATCGTTAAGGATGTACAGTGTTGTACATCCTGAGAAAGACAGAAAGCACTGGTGAACTCAATGCAAAAAATATGCAATGCTTTTGTTCAACCCTCTGAATTAAAGCTGAAAGGCTGCACTTGAACTGCATTCAAGTGGTTTGATTCGAAGATCATTGTGGTAATGTATAGAACCAAAATTAGAAAAAAATTGTCTTTATCCAAATGTTTATGGGCCTATCTGTACATCTCACTAGTTTTCTTTCTTTCCAGTCTTTGAAATCAGATCAGTTTAACTTAATTTTTTACTCTAAAAACTAAGGTTTAATTAAACCATTGTTAGGATGAAATATTTTCATATATGGTTAAGATGTCCTTTTATACTTTCATATTTTTATAATGCATTTCACTACTTGTTGCCTGTTTCAAGTTCAGGGCCTAATATATATAACCAACAGCATGCCCCTATTAGGGTGAGTTCAAGATTGATTGATTGATTGAGTGATCATACTTTATTCATCCCGAGGGAAATTGGGTTAAGGCTGCCAGCCATGCCAGCGCCATCTTACCCTCCGACCATACATACATTACACAAACATCACATGGGGAAGACAGGGATGTATAACAATGGAAAATGCACCACATGAGGAAAGACGAGGAGAAAAAAGAACTCCCCCCAGACTGAGCTCCAACAGGGAGATCAGTTTGAGAACAGAAAAAAAAAACCTCAGCGCATACAAAAAGCACATGACTGTCAATACACCATAGACACAAGACGTGCAACAGGGGCGGGTAAAGGGTAACAGAGAGCCGGTGTAGACAGCGCATCCGGTCCTGCAGCATGTCTGTGCTGGTCCAGTTGACCGCCATCTTCCCCGGGAGGGCACAAGCATCGAAGGCGTTTGGAAAGGGAGGGGGATGAGTGTGTATCAGTGTATGTGTGTGTCCAGAGTTCAGCTGAGACAGTGTCCTTCGCCCTGCCAGGCTTAGTAAACAGTCTTCCAGCCAACCCAGGTGGCCTTGCATGGGGGAGGAACAGTCTAAACACAGTTGTTATCAGGGTGTTTTTGTTCAGCTCCAGCCTTGAGACCACAGCTGGTGCTGAAGCAGTATCCACATGAAGTGATGGTGGTTTTTACTTTAATGCGAACAACTCATGTGAATTTCAAAGCTGTTCTGACAGTCCAACACTGGTCTCTCAATCTCCCGTTGGAGAGCCGCGAGCTTCTCCATGATCTTATCAAACTTACGCTCTGTGATGTTGTCATTCTTGTGCTCAAAGAGCCGATTCTGAGAACTCACGACCGCAGTGAGCTTCTCCAAGATGTGATCAATTTTCGCTCAGAGGTCTTATTCTGAGTGTTCACGGCAGCTGTAAGCTTCTCCAAGATCTTATCCGTGCTGCGCTCAATGAGCCCATTTTGAGAACTCACCACTCGTCCCATCGATTCAATCCCAGCGGGCAGCCTTGTGGGGTTTTTTGCTTTCCTTAATCTTCGATAAGCCAGCTCCGGTCAGCAAGAACCCTGTTTTCATGGTTCCGAATAGGTAGATATCTTCAGCACTCAGGGTCACCCGAGCCCAGACTTCTCATTGAGAAAAGGGTGTTAATTGCATTTAGGGACCAGTTGATCAAATCCATAATTCCTCTTTAGGTTTTAGAGAACAGACTGAGAGAGAGTGTTCCAGGGAAAGTAATACAAAACACACAAGACTAGACAAGGACATAAGAGGCAAAGCAGGGAAGATAAGGAAGGAGAGGAGAAGAGAAAAGTGCGACCGCCTTTGCCAAGAGCCAAAATTAAAGTGCTGCATGCTTATACAACGCAGTTTCAGACAGGAGAACCTTCCTTGGCATTGGGTGTGATTTGGTGCTATATAAATAAAATTGAATTGAATTGAAAGGATAAGCGGAAGCGAATGGATGGATGGATGAATTGAATTCCATATCACAGCAATCAGCTGCATGTGACACTCACACTGTTCTGTCATGAAACAACATTTCTCAGGAAGTGGACCCCAGATGCAGGACTCAAAACCCTAACCTTTATCAAGGTTGATTGCAGAGTGCAGCAAAGTTCAAGATCCACGAGAACATGGGGCAGAAAACAGAAACTCACAAAGACAGGACACAATTCTGTTAGCTGGAATCAAGAGTTGTTCTTACCAGCTACTTTGTAATAGAATAGAATAATCCTTTAATTGTCCCACAAGGGGAAAACTGGTTGTGACAGCAGCAAAGAAAAAAGCACATATACAAACGAAACAGGACACAGAACAGAAACACACACAATTTTTACAGAAAAAATATTTAAGTCATGTACAATAGTTACAAAAACAGAGTACTGTACATATTAAGATTAAATAGGAGAGGGATCAGCATTTATGTTGTTAAATGTTTTTGCTTGTAAGACTTGAACATTTAACTGTAGGATAGTAGATATTATTGGACAAAGGATGCTAGAACCGGAGCTTCCAAGAAGGAGGATAAGAGGAAGATCACAGAAAAGGATAATGGAGTACATACAGAGGGTCGGTGTGACCGAAGACAGGGTGAGATGGAGGCAGATGATCAACGAGAAGAAGAAGAGTTTAAAGATTTGTCTTTACTTTGAAAAGGCACCATTTCAAACCATCTCCAGCTACCAGCTGTTGAAACTGCTGTTCTTCTTGTGCGTCCATGCATTTGACCACCAGAGGGAGACAACGCAATATATAGTGCACTCAGCCGAATGATTAAATTGAGATGATGTATAAATCTGAGGACCTGCAATTACAGAAATTTGTGTTTATCAGAGAAGTCAGCACGTGAATGTTAAATCATGTAGATTTTACTGTTCTGGGTGGAGGGTCAATGACCATTGCAAGTTTTGTGTTTTTTAGCATGCAACAAAAACTCTATTTTTCTATTAAAATCTATTAAAATCATCGTTCACAGACAACTCTTCTGTGTTGTTTTTCAGAACAATACAATCCCTACACGCTGCAGTTTACAGTTTAGCCACAGACAACAGTCTGTGGCTAAATTACCTGTTTTTACGTGGAAATTTTTGTCTCTTTTCTAATTTGTCATTTTCAAAGGTTGATTTTTATGTGCCTTTAAAAGTTAGTTGGACACAACTTTTTATTATTTGAAAATGGAAGCGACATAATATGCGGTATGGGTGATGAGATCTTTTAAAACTATTAAATTGTGCTGAAAAGTCATGAAAAGGACCTTAAATCCCTACAAACATGCAAATAGTCAGTCATATTTTTAAGTAGGGTACTTATTGAATTATTTATTTATAAACGAGTAGCCGTGTGTTGCAGTCTGTCAGCTTGACGAATATGAGGACCATAGGTCGTATTTGAATATCCCGCCTCGTCACCGACTCCTCCGAGCTTTGCCGAGGCGGGGATTCACACAGCTCTCTTCTCCCGTAGAGTTAGTAGTGTGTTGGGAAGCTGCACAGAAGCTCCGGTCACTGAAAGGTAACTTTTATAAAGCAGCTCTTATACTGCGAATGTTTCATTTTCTCATACGACGCGCAGCAGTGGAGCGTTATCAAAGACTGGAGCGTTTTATTTAGCCCCCCGCCTTTTCCTCTTGGATGTATCGCTTGAAGAACTAGGAACGGACCGCGCAGCTCACCGAAGCCGGGATGAGCGGGACCTCCGCGGGGTCGGCCGCGGTGCCCTGCCGCTTCGCGCACTACTTTGTTATTTGTGGAATAGACACAGAAACGGGGCTTGAACCGGACGAGTTAGCAGGTATGTGGCTTCTTTTCTGTTGTTGAGTTATGAACGTGTTTTAAAGTCAAATGGAACCGCAGCGGTCCCCTCTCGCTTAACACGGTGTTGTTAACTGCAACGATCCATCCACCGCTACGGAGCTCTGGCTTTTTATTGTAAACCATTTAATACATTTATGTGACATATAGTGAGATTTCTGAACACCCTAAAACACAAGTGACACACACACACCTTTACAAATAAGTGGAATGAAACAGTTACTTCAAAGAGTTACTACAGTGCAAATAAGCAGTGTCTATACATTAGAATAGAGATATGCATCATTCCTGTCTGAGCACAGTATATGAGCTGCGGAAACCAGTGTCATTTAAGGTAATAAGCTTTTGAGAAATCAGCAGTAACCTATCTTTTCCGAATCCTATAATCTGATCTGGGCTTCCTGTGCTGTGCTACGTCTCAGAGCTGCTCTGCAGCTTCTGTGTCAGTGTTTCCCAAATTAATCGATTTTGACTTTGATGCTTGTTGTGGCTTAAAATTATACATTTTAAGTAACTTTTACAGCAAAATAAAGCCATGTTTGGATATATTACGCGTTCTTCGCTGGTTTGTTTGTATGAGTTTTAATAGTAAAATAAAAAAGCATAGTTACGTTCAGTACTACCACAGGTGTGGACTAAGATGGGGATTTTGTCTCCACAGCAGAATGTATTTTTGACATGTAATTCCTGCACATAGCTGGCAGGATCCCTGTTGTGTATTCACAGAAATCTTTTTCATCCTGGTGACTGAAGGAGAGCCGACGTCTGCTCTTCAGTGGCACCAACCTCAGTTTCAGCACGTTTGCTTTGTCACCAGATGCATTCACTCACGGGCTCAGTTTGTATTTTCTCCCTCTGTAACAGCCAGAGTGGAGGTTTTTTTTTAATGCACTGTGGAAAGCTTTGCTTTGTGGATCAACAAGAGAGTTGCTTGCTGTATTGCATCACAGTTGAATTGTAACTTTTGCCTCTGGGGCAAAGTTGCGAATCGTAAAGTCAATGTGTTCATGTTGCACACAAGTGACTTGGCTTAAAGCCTGGATGATTAAGTGAAACGAGTGAAGTTAATCTAGAACAAACGAAACTGAACATATACACAGATATATATTAAAATTTTATTGAAAGGGGGAAATAACTTCCCAGCACTGGGTTTCATAAACCAATTGCTTATCCTTGCTTTCCATAAAGACACTGCTTGACTGTGGCCATCTGCTCAGCAGTGATGCTCCTCTGCTGCACTGCTGAGATACAAACTGTAAAGGCATCATTTGTTTAAAAAAACCCTTATAAGTAAGTATTTTAAAAATATACTTAAAACTACTGTGGTGGGAAGCTACAGTTTTATACCAAAGATGCATTATATGCTTCCTATGCTTTAAACTTCATCAAAGGTGATCAGTGGTGAAGTGGCCAGCTTGGTGAGGATTCCCAATGGGCTGTTTAAAAAAGAAAATCACAAGATTAGTTAGTCAGCTCTAAGAGGGAGCCTCTGGATGAGCCTCTGGACCAGCTCAAGAAATCCTTCATCCCAAATCATTGAGCTGGTTCTGCTCAAATAGCGTATCTTTGGCAATTTCATCATACAAAGGCTGAAAGATGATGTAGTATATAGCCTCATCATGTTGTCAAACTATTACCATGAAAAATCCCAGTCGAATAAAATAGCCAGTTGTTTGGGCTCTCAGGCTGTGAAAAGAAGAAATCTTATCAGGAAAAGAATATGGAATCAGTTTTTCTTATAAATGAACTAAATGTTTATGAATACAACGATAGTAAAAAGTGTGAAATAGCTGCTCTGACTGTCTGTAATCAGATCTGCTGCCACGGTCTCTGGTGATCTCCAGTTGTACAAAGGTAATGTTGCAACGATTGATTGTTTGGTTGTTTTTCAAGCTTAGGCAGCATCTCAGCACCCCACTTATTCTTTTGCCCCTGAGTTAGAGGCAGAAACAAACAGAGTGACCCACATTAGGCTGTTTTTGCTTTTGTTAGGCTGCGACTCCCCTCCTCCCAGCTTTTTGTGCGCTACTGTGGCCTTATTTCCGTCTGCTTATTGTTTTACTAAGAGGACCCAACTTCCTGCAGACCTGCCTCAACCTCCTTTTAGAGTTGGCCGTACCTTCTGTCTATTATCATACAAGTGTTTCCCACATGGACTTTGGCGAAAAATAAAGTCCATCTGTGGGTAATTGTATCAGTTTGTATTTTTAATTATATTTTCATTAATTTATACGTCAGAGAAAATAACATCATGCACAATTTATTTCCTCTTGGACAATGCTCACTCTTATTTTTAAAAGTTTCGTTGTTGGTAACCAGCCAATCCTAAGCGTAGTATATCCTAGCTCATTGGCCACTGTGTTGTTGTGGCAATCCTTGATATCATCCACCTGCATCCTTCAAAACGGCTCTTTTGAGTATGTGAATGTAGTCAAACTTATCTTCTGCTCTTGAGCTGAAATCTTCAGAATCAATCAGCTGGTGTGGAACTTTTTCTTAACTGGTTAAATGTCTCCTGTAAGAGGTCACTGTCTCAGCCCGGGCCCACAGCCCATACCACACCACTCAGCCTCAGGGGTATAAATACATCCTGGCTGTCATACAGGCCCTAAAATAGTTTGTGCATTCTAACACCAGATGCATTCTGGGTCAGCAGCATTGTGGAGTTAAAGTGACCAGCCTGAAAAGCTAACTTTGGGGTGAGAGCTGTCACGTGTAGATTTAGATATGAGGTCATGGCTTGCACATCTCTCTTCTGTCTCTCGATGTAAGAAAGGTATGCGCTCTTGGTGGAGGGGAAGCAGCTGGTGGTTTCAGACCCCTGTAGCCTAAATCTTCCAGGTTACGAAAGACACTTTCATAACCTTTCATAACCATTCCTGTTTGCAGGAATGTATCTAAAATGTTTTCATTACCAGTTCAACTGTTGCTCAACTATAAAAAGAATAAACATATATGATGTGATTTCAACTTGCATCTCATGGCAACATTTATGGCAGGTTGTAGTGACAGCGCTGATATGCCTGAGAATCTCATTTTGTAGCAAAAATAACTTTTATCTTATTGGATACAACAGAAACTGACAAAGTTAACTGTGAGAACAGGATTTGCAGTTGAAATAAGGTGATAAATTTGAAATGTATATTATTGCAATACTCAGCATTGCAAAATGTTAAAAATCTCAATAATAATCTCTCATTGTGATAGTGTCATATTGTGAGATGCTGTGTGATCGATCCCTGGGGAGATTTACTTCTCCGGTGGGCCATTCTATACCCATTTATGACTCTTAATATTGTGTTTGCACAGTAACCTCCCTTGCTACCAGCTTGGAAGCTGCCCAGTGCAGGTTTAAATATCATTGAAGCACAGGGGCTTACAGGACAGCCGTGACGTGGGAGTGTCTTTGGGCTGCTGCTGCAGGCCACAATGGGATTTAAACTGCTAAAACTCCCCTCTGGCCTGGACCATCTGTCTGCACCAGAGCAGCCTGAAAGCAGTCAGGACAACGACTGCATCATAATGGCCAACATGACAAGTATGCTAATGACAGGGACTAACAACAGTAACGGACGCGTCTGTTGACTCACGTTAACAATAGCGTGCATGGGTAATGGACAGATTATATGGCACAGACACTTATAATGGCTAATGACTGCTAACATCTCTGCAGTTCTTGTATTGTAAAAATAATGTTGATCTCATTTTAGAATTTTTAACTCCTTTTTCTTTCCGAGTTTTTGGACGGTGACTCCACTTTTGCCACGCTTGCTACAGATCTGAGTCTTTCTGAATGTGGGTTTCTTTCTTCCACGCATCATTACTTCCTTCTCCTCTCTTCTAGCCTCAGTCTCTTTTACTTTGCTGTCCCCCGTTTGTTGCCTCGTGTTCTGTCAGCATGGCCGGCCTGTCGTTAAGCTTTTTAGAGTAATCTGTTTGGACACTTCCTCCAGGCTACACTGAGCACATCTCTGTAATATAACACAGCCAGGCCTAAGCAGTGCCTCCTCTACTCCCCTGCACACACTCAGGCTATTGACTCCACTCTGCTTTCTTCAATCTTTGACCAACAGCATCCTCTCATTATAGAACTTGTCACTAAAGGTGGACTTTTTAATGACTGTGGAGGTTTTTGCCTCACTTGACATGGAGACAAAAGTTTTCTCCTGGCTGAGTTCTGATGCTCCCCAAAAGAACAACAAGCACTTGTATGAATGTGTGTGTAAATGGGTGAATGAGACATGTTGTATAAAGTGCTTTAAATGCTTGAGTAGAAAAGTACGATATCACAACCAGTTCATACCATTCTGATGGTTCCTCCTTCATTTATTGTCACATGCTTTCACCAAACTCGCTCAAGCTGGCGGAAGCTCTGCCTTTGGTTAAAAAGATCTATCCAGAAAAACCAAAAACCTTTGAAGGTGTTGTTTGGTGAACCTGTGGAACATCGAGCTTTCAGGTAGAGTTTTGAAGTGTTTCTCCTCAATCAGATTAGATCCCACTCAGTGATTTAACCATATTTAAATTTTTGGGCCAACATATCATGTCAGATCTCGTATAGATTTCCTGGAATAATAATCTGTTTAATTTTGCTTCACTTAACCAAGTAGCATGAAGACAAACAAATGAAATGATAAAATGAATTCTATGGCGTTGTGAACTATGAAATAATTGTCACCTCTTGACTCTACGCGTGCCACATAGTTGTGTCGGATGTTCAGTGTTGAAGAAGATCCCAGATCTTGCTCACAGATGTTGGATTTAACTTTTAAAAAATGCTGCTGTCTTTTTCTTAGTCCTTTACATTTTAGATTGTTAGTTTTACAGGGATTTTATAATTCTGTGTTAAACTTTGCTATAGTCACATCATAACCACAGACCATTCTGAAATCCTACAATGTGAGGTGCATTTCCCTAGAAATGTAACTGCATGTTGCACTGGACTGCACAGATATAAATGCTGGCAGTGGCATGGGCCAT